GGACCGGACACCGGGGGCTGGGCCCTGTCGTGCAGTCGTTGTCTGCAGATGATAAATGAAGGTGTTATTCCACCTCTAAGAAACGCCGCTCTGTCTGAATTACGCGCGGCTGCTGCAGCTTTTACCAGCTTCTGATATCCATAAAACATGCCTTTATGGTCTGGTAAAGGACTCCTGTCAAACTTGAATCAACACCGTGTCAAATGTCATTATACAGTATAAGATTATTTTACACATTACTTGCCAGTTACCCCTTTGTCATCGTTTCTATTTTCTATCTTTTTCAGTCTTTTCATTTCTGTGGAGCTGTGGTGTTTTGCCCACCCAATCTACAGATATCTTATATAGTACTAATTTGTGCAGAAAAAAATGTTTCTGCAAAGATAAGAAATCAAACAGAACCTTCAATAAAACAAATTCAGAAAATCTTTTTCAGTCAATGCATATTAGATACCAGGCGCCTCTAATTAGGTGTGGAGATTTTTCCACACCTTCAAGTTTTGTTTTAGGATCTTTTCTTCATTATTCTATGTTTTAATGTTAAAAGTTAAATGTTTAAAGTTGTTATTACAGGTATAATGGCAAATTTTCACAGTTAAACTCTGTCCTCTGTCAGAGATTTGAACGTATTTTGACAAAAACTCTTTTTGATGACACAGGCAACTATCCTCGGGCAAAAAATGTCACCTGGAAGTCCACCAACTTCAAAACTATCCTGACGTGGGAACCCAAGCCCTCAGCTGACTTCTCCTACACGGTGGAGTTCTCTGCGTAAGTAGCAGGAGGCTTCTCACTAAATATAGAAAGGAAAAATTAATAAAAATGTAATGATCTGATTAATGTTTTCATTATTTCTCTTCTAATCATTTTAAGTCAAAGCACACATTTTTAGACATCCATTAAGTTTGATTAATACGTTTTTTAATGCATCAGTGTATGTTCAGACTTGAATATTTAGTTTTCCTTTGTATGAAAATGCTCTTTAAAATCTTTTTTGTGTTTTAGTGCTTGTTTGGTGACTTAGAATGCTGCATCCGTCGGGTATATTTGTGTAACTCTGGGTAAAAACTGTTGCAGGATCGGAATGGACAAGGAAAGGAGTCCTTATTGCATTCGCTCCTCCAACACTGTGTGTGATCTGTCCCACTCTTCAGCCGACCTGCAGGCCTGCTACACGGCCGACGTTCTGTCCGAACCCCCACTGGGGGTCAGCTCGGACCTGACAGAGTTCCCTCACACCAGCTCGCCTCAGTTCTGTCCGTACAAAGACAGTAAGTCTAACCGAAAACAATCGCAGGTGTTTGTTCTAAATCTGCACAAAGTATAACGTCACAGATGTTCTGCACAGTTTCTATAAAAGACTAAACAGTTCAGAACCATCACAGAGCACACACACATTCTGATGGATTCCCAGACATGCTTAGAATTACAAAATTAGTTCTTTTTGTCTTACTTTCCGGTTCAATTGAGTCATTCTTGTGTTTTCTACATTTCCTTTTTTCAAGACCGACATGTTATGTTTTTAGGTGTAATTATCACTTGATTTAAATTTGTTTGGTAAGGTAAAAAAAAAAAGAAAAGTGTAGAAGTTGCAAGCAAGCAAATTCCACACCTACGCTTTCAGAGCTCAGACTCCCCTCTTGACCTGCAGGGAGTTCTTCCTGAACTGTCTATTTCTGGTAGGGGTAATTCAGAAATGTGTAAACAGGAAGCCTGGCGTTCCAGAACATTTCCACACAGACTTAAATCACTTCAGATTGTTGTTTTTTTTTACCCACGAAGATTCAAACGCGGTCTCAGTTATGCACGCATGCGCTGGTAAACATGTCGTCCTCCTTTAGACAAAAACTTAATCCACGTTTCCTTCCCCTCGGCAGCGGATATCGGCAAACCGGACTTTGAGCTGAAGATGAACGACGACAAAACGGTGACCATGCTGCACGTGAGGGACCCCCTCACAGCTCTGTTTGAGGGGGACCGCCAACTGACCATCAGGGATATCTTCTCTGACCAGCTGCAATATAAAGTGACCTATTGGAGGAATGGGAGTACTGGAAAAGTAAGTAAAATAATACCTATTTTTTAGAAATGTGAATGTAAAGTTGTGTTGATGAGGCATTTTTTTTGTTTCCTTGCCTTATTGCCTTATTGTTTTTTTTTTGGTTGTGTTATAGAAAATCTACAACTCTAAGAGCAGCTTGATAGAGCTGAGAGATCTGGACCGGGGGCAGAGCTATTGTTTCTACGTGCAGGCCTACATTCCAAGCCGAAGCATAGACAAACAACTGGGGGAGATAAGCGACACGAACTGCTCTAATAATGACGGCCAGTCTTTCTTGGGAGGTAATGTGTTGTCCGGCTTACAGTTCCCATTGTTATGTTTTTTTTTTGTCTAATTACATTGGAGTTCTCTTTCCGCAAATGTGGAAGTAACCACAGGAAGTCAAATAAAAAAAAATGTTGGCTCATGAAAAAAGAAATTTCGCTCCAAATGTCTGCATACATCTTTGGCATTTTTTTTGCGAAAATATTTAAAAAAGGCAGATCTTATTGATAAATAATTAAAAGAGTTTAGTCTGATTGTCTCTCATTTAAGATAAAATAGCATGGGGGTACACATCAGATAGAAATGGAATATTAACTTAAGTCATTTCTGTTTCCTTCAATTAAGGAAAAGGATTAATGCCTCATTTAAAATGTGATGGCAAAGTACTGATATTATATCCTGATTATTAGGTCATGTGATCTCAAACTCTTTAAAAACAAACGAGGGATCCGTGCCTTCACCTTTATATACAATGTTTACTGTATACAGTGACTGATATTGCTTGAAAAATTTAGGAATTTTAACATCAATCCAACAGCTCCATCTGGAGGAAACCTTCATTAGTAATGTTCAGTTATTGTTCAAAACTAACTTGTTCATTCTGATAGTTATTATCAAAGCAGAGACTGAAAACAGATGTTCCAGAAACTGTACATATTAGATATTGACGGAAATGCTTAGTAGGAATGTTTTTAGCCCTTAAGTCCAAACAAAAAAGGCCCCAAACCTGCATGAGGGAGGCTGTGAAATGCAAGTAAAACAATCCACCAGAACTGAGCGGAAGAGGGAAGTTTGTGTGGGAACATTTCTCCGAAACCTGGGAGGACTCGGTCAGACTGAGGCATGGACATGTGTCACATAGTGTTTTGGTTGTGCTTAGAGTTGAAAAATTCAGCCATGTTAAACTGGGAAAGTACCAGATTGTGCGGTTTTGGTTCCTGGTCGTGATTCCCCTTCTCTCCGTCCTCACAGCTTACTCCGTCCCCGTCATCGCCGTCCTGGTCCTCTTCATCCTGCTGGTGATCGGCATCGTCATCGCCGTGGCCGTGGTCTGCTGCAAACGCTGGAGAAAAGCCCAGATAAAAAGAGAGAGAGTGCCCCGCCAGGACGTGTAAAGGCACAAACATTCCCCGGGAACCTGCTGCTCTGCTGAACCCGATCCGAGACTTCGAGGAGAGCCGGAGTTCACCATTCCACTACAGAACACTGGAAAAAGATGCTCTTTAGTTTCTGTGAAACTGTTTTATTAGACCTCTTTTTTTTTACTAATATAAAAAAAATGCACAGAGAGAGATTTTTTGAAAATGATTCATTCTTCAACTTAAGGAACATAAGAAATAATATATTCCTCTAGCTGGGAGTAAGGGGTACTTTTGATCACTGTAGATAATCTCACCAGATAGTATTTATTTCATTTTATTGTCAACCTTTTTACTTGAATAATTGATCTGTCAAGGGGATTTTTTGCCGTATTTCAGGTTAAAGCTGAATTTTATCTTAAATCAATGCATTGCAGATATTTGTTTACATTTTCTTGCTTAATTTATACCATTGAGGGGAAACTAGTTCCTTTCGATTGTGTTTTTTCTAGTGTCTATATGTATTATTCCTGTAGATAATGAAATGTAACACACTGTGTAATAAGAACTATCACACTTGGTATGATCAGTTGATAGATTTGAACAATGTTGTCTTTAATTGATAAAAAGAAAAACTTTGCAGATACTCTGTTTATGTGGACTCCCTGTTGCCCCTGAATGTGCTACACATGCATTTACCTAAATGCACACACACTTAAGATAAAAAACAAATAGATTATTTTTAACTGAACTTACTTATTTCTGGAAAATTGCAGATGATAATTCTACATTTACTTCTTTTGGAGAAACTTTCTTTATTGGGAATATGGAGGATTTGGGGTATCAGTAGGGTTGTTGTCTTACTTTATTTGCCAAACCACACACTGGTCATGACATCCTCCCTGTGTGACTGTAGACAGATGTTAGAACACTGCTCCTATGCTATAAAAAAAAAGGAAAAATGAGTGACCCTGAAACACAGTTATGCACGTTTTCAGACGAGAAGGAAAAATGTCAAAGAAGGCGAAACAAAGACGTATAAACGCCTGTCCCATCATCATAGCCGTCATCGGGGACACACACACACACACACATACACACACACACCCTGCACAGGTGGCCCGTCCAGCGCATAGGGCCACAGAAAGATGACCCACACAACCATGCATGCTCAAACTGACTTCACGGTCAATTTGGAGTCACCCATTAAGTTAACTCGCATTTTTCTGGCCAATGGGAGGAGGCCAGAAAACCTGGAGAAAACCATTTCACCCACAAAATGTAGGGTCATTTAAGGGATGGCCAACAGGGCTGGACAGAGGTGTGGCGGTTAGCACTGTCCCTCTCTGGTTCAAATTCCCATTAGGGTCCGGCACTCACAACCCTGACTTGGATATATCAGACGTAAAAAAATACAAATTGACAAATGGGAAGAAATGGACTTAATAAAAATAGCATTAGAAAAAAAAAGTCCCTCCAAAAATTAAAAAAGTGCTTGATTTTCTTTTAGAGTACAACAACAGGGGGAAAAATAAACAAATAAAAAAAGTCTCTTTACATCCATCGATCTTCAAAAAAAAAGTTAAGGCCAAATTTCTACAATTTCTTTAATGTTAGATCAGAACAGCATCATTATACAAAGAAAGAAAACAAGTACAGTTAAGATTATTTTTCTCTTTTTTTTTTACAATTTCAAGTAAATGAGTGACGAAGTTGATTAATCGTGAATGGTCTGATAAAATATGTTTACACATTTATACACCAGTAACGTCACTGCATCTCAGACTTGAAGCCCAAACGTTACACGTCTGAAAATCAAATATTAACCTTTGTAATATTAGCAACATAACTATGACATTTCCAAACAACTTTAGAAACTAGAAATGCTTTTGTCTCCTTGATAACTGGACTTCTTAATAACCGTCATATTAGAGCTATTCTCACACAGTGATGACATGAAAGGCAAACGGGTAGAAAGACCCTTAATGGTGTTAATGGACAGGTAAATCTAAATAATGAATAATCTGACTCCCCCCTCCCCACCCAATAGTGAAAGCCTTTAAATTTATGGAACTACAATTAGAAAGTGGAGCCCATACAATAGTTGAAATTAAAGTGGAGCTATTCAAAATCATTGGCTGTATTTTAACGGATGGTAAAATTCACTCTAACACAAACTAAAAATTCTGTGTATGCTTATTAGGAAAGGTTCCTGGCACACACAAATGGTCATCAGAGTCAATTTGATCAGACCTTACAGGGCTTTAGGAACATATTTCCAGTGGTTGATAAGCCGAAATGTAGTTAATGAGCATAAAGCTGATATCATCTACTGTTTGTGACCAGAGGGCGGAAAAGTGGGCACTTAGGAGAAATATGTTAAACAGCACTGTCTAGAACTCTGAAAAACAATCCATGCTAAGTGAAAAGCTGTAGTTTAAGAGTCTTTACTGGTTGTGTCTGTTTAACATTCCATGTTAGGGTGTTATGAATGTAACAAAAGTTATGGCAACAACCCCGATCAAAGCAGGCTGATGATATTACGCAACTGTGATGATACGCAAGAAATAACTTTTAAAAAAGACCCAAAAATGCTTCTGTAGAGACTTTGACATTCAAGGGGACCTGCATGGCAGTCAGGATTGTTACCTGTTATGCGAAAATGCTTGATGAATGACGATTTCTTTTGCAAATGATAACAAAACACGGAACACATGTCATCCATCCCTAGATGCACGCGAACTAAACATCTTTGAGATTTAGAAAGACTCAACAGGACTAACGTGATTCGTCCAAATAAAATATAATGCAAGACTAATTTACAAAGGATTAAAAACAGCTTTCTTGTTTTAGTTAGTGTTTTTCATTTTTTTTGCTGAGTGCAAAGAATTATTGGACTGGATTAGAAGAGCACTGCGTGGCCGGCTGGTTTCAGGAGCCAGTTAGGAGCCAAACTCCACCGTTTCGTCTGTGATGGCCTTGAACTCATAGTTTCCTCTTCCGTCCATGTGGAGATAATACTAAACGGAAAATTAGGAGAAAGAGGGGACCAAAATGAGTGGGAAAACAAAATAATATCCAAAGGAAAAAGCAAGCACAACAACAAGCACACTCTGGATATATCTGAGAAGCATAAATACAAAGCAGTCTGCTTATTTCATTAATGAGGTGGACATGATTAAATGCTTCCGTATCCCATAACTGAACAATGATGCCCTTTACTCTGTCGATCTGCTGGTAAAATCTGATTAAGTTTCCCTTTTTCTGCATTTCTCCTCTGATGTAGAACTTCAAATGGTGATCACTTCCTTAAATAACAGTGTCTTAGTCCCCACGGGTTTACGACATGACTGATGTGGCGCTTTGAGTTGTGCAACTCCCACTATCCGGAAACCTTTGGCCCATTTCACAAGTTCAACTGTGTGGAGCCACGACCTCGTCTTCCTTTAGACCCGTGATGCAATCAGCATGTTGAATGAACTACTTTTTTTTTTAATTATCTGGAATAGTCATGAGTTTAATTTGAATTTGTGCAAACTTAAACCTTCCCATGCTAGTGCTAATATGACAGCAGGTATTATGCACGCTCTCAACTTAAAAATACAAAACTAATTATTTTGCAGTGTATTGGCAATATGGAGTTCACTAAAATAAATAAATAAATAAAATGAAATATTTAAAAAGCATTGAACACTTTGAGGTGAAATTGTGTGCTGTCCATGCTCTTTCTAGGGAAACGACCATCCTTACCTCATGGTGCTTCCACAGGGACTTTCTGTGGGACACTGTGAACAAGCTGATGCCCACCTGAGGAGATAAAGGAAATACAGCTTGCATTACAATGTTATTTCAATAATCCCTTAATATTTGACACCACCGTGGGTTTTATTTAAATATTTGTATCCGGCAGTCGTCTCATAATTGTCGACGTTTAGTTCCTCCACCTTTGACACGCAAAGGCAGACCGGTGTGAGGTGTGTGTGAGGTGTGTGTGTGTGAGGTGGGGTATGTGTAAGGTGTGTGTGTGTGTGAGGTGTTCTGTGTGTGAGGTGTTCTGTGTGTGAGGTGGGGAGTGTGTGAGGTGGGGAGT